AGCCATGCTGGACAAATTCTCCTTCCACTGCAAAACATACAGATGAGGCATAAGATTGCTGAACAGTAGTACTACTGACCCTGCTGCCAGGTACCCTTCCAGAAGCAGTACTAGTTACAAAAATGTTTTCAAACTGTCTGCCTGAACTTATCAGAGGAAGCACTACCATATCCAGAAACAGGCTGAACTCCCTCTCTTAAGTTGTTTACTGATCAATAGGAATCCTATCTTGACTGGACTGACATTCCATTATTTTATCCAAAGACAGTCTCTCACTGCATTCAGGCTTTGTAAAACATTTCCACAGTTTATGCAGCGTTAGCTGGAAAAAAGCTGTGTATAGCCAACATACTGATGCAACTGAATTGTAACATTCTGAATGTCTTTTCCTTCATGCAGCCTTATGTAGTTGTTAGAACAAAAGAAATTTTGAAGTATTTCAAAGAAACCAAGAGAACAAGCTGTAACATGCCACCACTGTCATCTGAGTATGTTCAGCCACATAAGACTAGAAATGTCAGAAAAGAGTTACTTCTAGTCCTTTATTGGTTAAATAATATGATAAGATACCATTCTCAATTGTATCGAATGCTACCAAGAAATCCAGCAATAAAAAAACAAGGACATACAACCCCTGTCCAGTTCTTGGTGTGGGTCATATACCAAGATAGTTTTACTGATTAGCTAAGATTCAAACAGATCGAAATAATCAGCTTTATTCAAGAAAACCCAAGGTGCAGTATCACTGTCACTCTTGGAGCTTTCTGAAAAAAAAGAGAAAAATGAAAAAAAAAATTATGGATATTTGAAAGCGCTACAGTACCAAGAAAACAAGAAACAAGAAAACAGACAAAAGAAATAGAAAAGAGATTTACAAGCTATATAGAACTGAATGAGAATTTTCAAAGTAATATTATTTTAGTACTGCATTTAAAGGTACTCATATCAATTTAACACTTTAAAGACATTAAAATCAAATCAATATTCAGTGATTAGCAATTGTAGCCAATATGATTAGAATCATCAATCAGAATGAACTATTTATTTATTTAGAAAATTTATATAGCCATCTTAAGCAAACAATCCTGGGTGGCTAACAATACAAACCAATATAGAACAACAAAGGTACGATTAAAAAACAAACATAATAAATACAAAAACTAAGGCATCTTATGCATCACTCTCAGTCCCCAAACTTACTTATATCAACTAGCCCTAATGTCTGAGGGAAAAGCCAGATTTTTATGGCCTTCCAGAAGCCCAACAGGGCTGGGGTCATCCCAATATCCAGGAGGAGACTATTTCACACAGTAGGAGCTGCAACAGAGAAGACATGGTCTCCTGGGTCCTGCAAAGTCAGGCCCAAAGCATTCTCACCCTGCTGGATCTAGTGGAATGGGCAAAAACAAATGAAGACAGGTGGTCCTGAAAGTAACCTAGCCCTGTGCCACGTAGTGCTTCAAACATGATGACAAGCACCTTTGAATTAGACCCAGAAGCCTAATGGGAGCCAGCGCAGCTCACACAGCGGTGGCATCACATGGGTGAACCTCAGTGCATGTGCTGCTGCTGCATTCTGAACCAGCTGAAGCTTCCAAATGCTCTTCAAGGTCAGCCCCATACAGAGCATGTTGCAGTAATCTAAAGGGAAAGGGACTAAAGTATGAGTGACCATGAACAGAGCCATTTGATCCAGGAACAGACGCAAGTGGTACAAAGGATTTGTGGAAATGCCGTCCCTAGTCACAGCTGCCACTTGCTCCTCAAGCAAGAGTCGTGAGTCCAGAAGGCCCCCAGACTACGTACCAATTCTGCTTGAAGGAGTGCTACTCCATCCAGAGTTAAATTAAATTCAGTATCAGATTTGTTAAATAAGCCAGCCTTAATGCAATTCCAGCATCTTTTAAAATATAATTATCTAGTTTGGCAATCAACACTGGTGTAATTATACCAATAACTGATAATTATACCAATGAAAAAACACCTGAGTATAATATTCACCATAAATTTAATACAGTATTTATCTTCCCCTGGAATTCCCATTGTTGCATATCAATAGTCCTGTTTAACCCATTTAATGCATACAGTATTTGACTTGTTCAGTTTCTGAATATTTTAGTAACAACTTATAAATAATAAGCAGCTTTTCTAAGTAATGGTGGACATGAACCAAATGAACATGTAGCTGGCCTCTTTCCATACTTCCACCTTATTTCTAAGTACAAATAATACAAATTAAATTCATCCATCAAAATTATGCAAAGTGGTACTTCAGTTATCTGTTGTTTGTTTCTACTGCAACATAAAATCTAAATCAGAGCAGATACTAGAGACTTTTCTGATAAAGTGTCTGGCAAACATAAAACAGCAGATTTCAGAAAGTTTTCCTCTCTATCCTGGCCATCAGTGTGCAAAACTCCCTTTACCAAACAAAAACAATAAAATTAGAGAATTTTCTTCAGTGCCCTCATTGTATAGTACAGATCCTAAAATGGCTCTGACTGTTATTCGTTGCATTCACTCTACAAAGGCAAGTTCCTCTATTGTTACTTCAGCAATTTATTAAGGTGCGTCACTGCCCTAAGCTTATTTGAAAATTAAGGAAACTCAGCTCAGCATCCCAACTGATATATCTGCATCACCATTTCCATTTTCCACAGATCAATCAGATTTGAGGGTTGAGATAAGATTGCCAGTTCTAACATTTGCAAAATTCCTCAGAGCACTGAGGAATTCTCAGGATTAGTGAATAAATGTAATAATTCCCTACCCTTACAGACATTTCATTCCCAGTGAACCTAAATCCTATTTGATGGTGATCAGTTCATGATAATGTTAAGTACAGGTGGTCCTCATTTAATGTCCACTCATTCAGAGACTGTTCGAACTTGCAATGGTGCTGAACCAGTGGTAGTTATGACCGGTCCTTGAAGTTCTGGCCATTGCATTGTTCCCATGGTCACGATTGCAATCCAGGGGCTCAGCAACTAGCCTAGAGTTCTGTCAGTAACAGGGTCCTGTGGTCACATGACCATGATCTGCAACCTTCCCTGCTGGCTTCCCACAAGCAAAGTTAATGGGGAAGCCAGGAAAAAGTCAAAAGTCATGATCACTTGTGGTCCTTGCTTAACAACAGTAAACAGGGACAGCTGGAACTGCCATTGCTAAGCGGCGTGGTCATGTGACATCATGCTTTATGACCACATCACTTAGTGACAGAAATTCCAGTCCCATTCTCACTGTTAAGTGAGGAGTACCTGTACTTTTAAACCTCCCTAAAGATCACTGTATGCTAACTGGCAACTACAAGTAATGTGTACACCTTACTGCAAACACAGAGTCAGGTATTCAGACTCATAGTTGACAGGAAACATGAAATCTGGCTCCTAAACCTTCCAAGACAACATGCAGTGTAAATTTTAAAATCCTGTCCACAATAAGATTAGGGTAAACCAGTATCAAGACAATCTCTAGTAATTTACTCAGGGAAACAGTTGAGGAGTATGGTAGGGAGTCGATCAACAGAACCTGCCTCACAGCCCTGTCATTAGGCAAATAAACTCAAATACTGGGGACTACTGAGCAAGACTCCTTAATAAGAGAAAGGATTCATGATACATGCTTGTCTACTGGATATAATCCACAATTGGTCATAAAAGGGCAACATATAGTAAGTTACATCTCTTCATAACCTAAATTGCTTTATCCAATTTTATCCAAAGCCTTAAGGAAACTCAGCATTAAATAAGTACACTTATAAGAGAACATGTAAATCTGCACTTCCCACTCAATTCATGCTGGTTTATATTACACTACAATTGTAACTTTTGTTTGTATATACTTGGCAGCTGAGGCACATGTTTTATTCACAATTAAGTTTGATGAAAGTGTAATGTATGCCATGCTCTGATTTTACTCTCATTATTCTTAACTGTCATGAAGGATCTGGCTTGGTTTGTTAATCATGGTCCTATTTTGACATCAGTATCAGCTTTCCATTCATAAGAACACCATGCAACAGGATATTTAGTCTCTCAATATAAATGCAATTATTCTAACCAAATACTGAAAACTATTTAATAAATACAAATTCCTCAGTCCAAACAAATACTGAAAACAAATGTTATAGATACACCCCCCCACACAAAAAAAATACCATCACAAACCTTTTTGATTTCGATTCCCTAAAAGTGGCTTCAATCATTAATTTCTATTCCTCGAGATGGGTTAATACAATATTGGTTCTCAGAACTCATCTCTCCACTGGAAATTACTGGCATTTTAATTATCACAGAATTAACTAGCTAAAAGAATTATATTCCTCAAGCAACAGCATTTGTTTTAGTGTACAAACAAAAATATTGTTGGGCTTAGTTCTAATTTTTAAAAAAAGGTGCTGATGGGAAGAATCCTGGGATCTGAACCCTTGTTGGTTTTGCTGCCAATCCACATTTAGTAATCTTAGAAATAGTTCCTTTGAGTTTCCAGTTCAGATCATTTTCCTTGCTAAACTCAGGCAATCATTTCTGATTCACTACAGGGTAGCATAAATATTCAAGGCACTATTTGACTCATTAGGGGGAGCAGGAGGGGGAACTGAAGGAGGCACATTTCTGCCCACACCAAGAAGCAAACATTTTTACAATTAGCAATTGAAAACACTAACTCAGGGACACTTGGAAAAACCTTACAGGTTTGGAATAACTGAGTCATTAATAAGATTTCAGTCTTCTCCAACTTGGCTCTCTAGGACCTCAACTTTCAGAATCCCCAGCTAATATAGTCTTTGACTCTGCTGGCTGTGAATTATGGCAATTCCAGTTCTAACCCATCTGGAGAGCACAAGGCTGGAAAAGGCTACTTGACATGCTATTTAGAATTTCTAATATGAATACTTCTGGAAGTATTATCTAGGCCTCAACAGTTGCTTTTAGCCTAGAAATCAAATAAGAAAAAATAACAGCTAAATCAGGATGAAGTCTTCTTCATCTGCTACATACCTTTAAAGCACATTTCCGTCCTGTCACTTTGTGAAAACATTCCAATACTTTGCCATTAATACCAAGGCCCAAGACCCGTTTAGAGATTTTATAGTCATCTGTAACTGCATGTTTCTTTATTTCCCCTTTGACAGCAGCTGCCAGGCTAGGCAAAGGTCTCGTGTTGCTTTTGCTGTCATCTTGAATCTCTGGTAAGGATCCTTGTTGATTCTCACTTTGTTCCATAGCAGATAGAAGTTCAATGTTTCAAAAAACAGCTGCCACGACCTTCAGAAAGACTCTTCCATTAAGCTGTATGAAGCAAACATTTCAGACAGACTAGATCCATTTCCTAGGATTTCACAGAACACCCTCCTTTAAAAAAGAAATATTAACTGTAAGACACAGAATAATGGACAATTTACCATAACCCTTCTTTCCCTGGTTTTATCCTATGGGACAGAATTTTTAGCATGGTAAGGAACATAATTCACCCACTAATCTTGGGATATACCATGAGTGCAGCATACAGATTTATTGATCACTATCATATTTTCATAGAAAAAGATTCCTGTAACTCTAAAGTCATACAACATTAAATAATTTAACATATTAAGTATTGACAAATACAATGTTCCATGTAAGAAATAGGGATGTGCAGAGCTTTGGGTTTGAAGGCAAAAAGGTGCTTTGGAGCATGGAGGTGGCATGAACATAACACTTATCTGCACTCTTTAAAGCAGCTGTACCTTTTCTCAGGATTCAGTGACTATCCTCTGCAGATGTTGTATGATTCCAGGAAAGGACACATTTGGTTTAATGAAGTGCAAATAGGGACTACATTCATGCCTCCATGGGCTCTGAAGCATCTTCTTGCCTTCAGGCCAAAGCACTTATTGTACAGCCGTAGTAAGAAATGCTGCAACAAAGAATTTCTGATATTGTGCACTTGCTTGATAGACAGAAAAAAGCGGCAGTTCTAGATTAAAAATTAAAAAAACAGCCCTGATAACACTTAAAACCATATTTTATCTTATATTTAAAATAAAAATACAACTTTAACATTTGTAAGAATATTCATTTAAGCAAAATTCAGCCACCTAATAAGGAATAATTATGTAGGCCTGCACTAAGGACTGGTAAATCATCCTCATGAACAAAGCCCTCACACATGAAATTGCTTCCAGTGTTTGCAAGAACTAAATGAATGAAATAAATCACTGGATTTAACATTGTGTACAATAGCTACACACTGACAGGGGTTTTTTTTCAGCTGCTCTGAGTAACTAGCACATAAAGACAAGGTATGTATAATACTGATCACTTGGAATCCATATGGGTAGCACCTAAACTGGAAATTTTTCATCAAAACAAAATTAACACGGGTAATAAATACAGTGAGGCACCATTCCAGTCAGTGTAGTTCTAAATTACAATCCTAGGAAATAAATTTTCTTTAAGAAGTTCCTCCTCAATTCTCCACATTGGTGCTAGGTGCAACTCAAAGTGACTTCAAATGTGTTTGAAAAAGCCTCATGTGCACTACAAGCATTATAGAACCATAGCAAAGGCAACACTTGCCCATACCGTAATTCATGAAAACACCCCCACAGTCCTACTTTGACCCATAACTTTCCCTTTAATTTGACAAGTAGTGTCACCTGCACTATTACATTTCAGGGCTGTATCCTGATACATATTTTGTAAGCACATGCAGATGTTTTGAGCCTCCCTTTTAACCATGAATAACTAGTCCGCCTATTCATATTTGTCATGAACCCAAATTGTGATTTCATGGTCAGAACAAGTTTTTGAGGAAAAAACTAGCTACAATTTGAGTACTCTTTCATGAAATTTTAAAAACCAAAATGCAAGAGTGAACTACCTGGATTGGCAGAACAATGGATACAGTGTAGATTTGAAAGAAAAATACTTTAAAAAACACATCAGTTGCTTCCTCATCTGAGGCAGAATATCCTCAAATTATGGGAAGAAACACATCCAACAAGTCAATCTGTCGGCTCTTTGACAGCAATTGGGACACCATCCTTTCTGGCAAGCAAACGGGCAGGTGGAAATTTACAGCTACGTCTGTCCCAGAAAGGAGGGTCTTCCTCAAGGCCAACTGCCTCACCTCGGATCCTATGACGGGCGCTTGGCTGAGTCTTCCCTTCTGGGCAACGCTGGGTTAAAGACCCTCTAACTCTGAACTGCCCAAAGAGGTGAATTATTCCAGAAGAGGGGCTGCCCCGCTTCAAGGGTGGCTAGAGGCTAGCATAACCCTCTTTCAACTCAGAACCACCTATCCGTTCGTGCACTGAAGGAAAGAGACTCCTCAGGGCAGCAAGGCGCAAAGCAACCCCGCGACGGAGCTGCGGAAGCTTCAGTGAGGGACTGGAGGGAGGTTACCTTCGCTGCGCGCATGCTCCTCACAGGTGGTCGCTTTGCCGCTGCTCCCTCAAACCTGTGGCTAGCCAGGAAGGGAAGGGTGGAGGAGGGGGACTCACGGCCATAGGAAGCCTCGCCCCCGCCAGGCCCAGCCGAAGCTCTTTTCCGACCGAGCAGGACAGGCTCAGGCAGCCGCTCATGTGACTCTCCGCCCCGGCCGGCCCAACCCGGTCCCGCCATAGAGGACTGCCAACATGGAGGGCGGGGCACGTAGGCAGGAGAGCACGTGCTCCGGGGCACCTGGCTGGCCGGCCGGGGAGTCGCGCGGTCCCTGCACCGGGAGCTCAGCGGGATCCCTCTGCCTGTCCCGTCCAGCTGGCGATTCACAAACTCGTGTTATCGCCTGAAGCCCAAAGACATTGGAGG